GGTTCTAGATACAGGATGAATTGTATAGTGGCAAAGTCATGGCTTTTAGTGCATCTGTCACTTGACTAGTACACATTCTACCTGATAGGTCATTTTTGAACCCTCATCTCCCACTCACCATCCTCCCTTCTGAGTCTGCAAAGTCTAATATGCCATTCTGTAGGACCACATATAGCATTGTTTAGCTCTCACTCATGAGTACAGGCAGTATAGTATTTCTGTTCCTGAAACAGGTACTTCGCTCAGGATCGTGGCTTTTGGTTTCATCTGAATTGCTGCAAAAGACATATTTCACTCTTTTATATGGCTAAATAGTACTTTATGGTATGTATGTGTATATATATATATGTATGTATACATAGTCATTGCTATTTAAATATATACATAGTTACTGCTATTTATTCATATATATATTTATTCATATATATTCATATATGTTTCATTCATTCTATACATATAATATAATATACATATATTTAAATAGCAGTGACTATATATGTATGAATATATATGTGTATATATGAATATACATATGTTTATATTTATATTCACCAGATGGCCAAGGGGAATACTTCAGCAATGAGGTATGTAGTACCTTTTTTGTGACATTTGGCAAAGAGGTATGTAGTACTTTCTCTAGGATGAGTTTGGGAACTCAATTTTCGGACCTGGTACAATGATAGCCCTGATGACCATTTCAGAAAAAGAGTTCCAAAATTGCTTCCAAGGGTGGACTAGGGATTGGCATTGGCATAAATTCCCATGGGGAGTACTTCAAAGGTGACCACGGTGATATTTGGAAGTCAAGTGTTAGCACTTTTTCTAATATGAGTTCATGAACTTAATTGTCGGACCTTGTATACTGAGTATTATAATTTTAATACGTTTTTTTCCTTTCTTAAAATATGTATGTTTTTTGACACCCTCTTTATGTACATGGGTGTCTGTGTATAGCAGCTATTATAAATGGCATTGTGTTCTTGTTTGATTCTGAGCTTGTGTACGTTAATCAGTAACCTGAGACTTTACTGAATTTGTTAACCAATTCTGGGAGTCTTTTGGAGGACACTTCAGAGTTTTATTAAATGTAAGATTGTATCATCAGCAAATAGGTAGTTTCATCCAAGACAACTACAAATCCCTTTATGCATACAAAGTAGAAAATCTAGAAGAAATGGATAAATTTTTAGAAACATACAGCCTCCCAAGCTTGAATTAGAAAGAAATAGAAACCCTGAATAGATTAATATCAAGTAGCAAGATTAAAATGATCATCAAAGATCTCCCAGCAAAAAAAAAAGAAAGAAAGAAAGAAAAAGAAAAGAAAGCCTAGGACCAAATGGATTCACAGATGAATTTTGCCAGATCTACAAAGAACTAGTACCTATCCTACCAAAATTGTTCTATAACATGGAATAGGAGAGAATCCTCCCTCACTCAGTCTGTGAAGCCAGTATCACACTGATACGAAAACCAGGAAGGACACAACTACAAAAAAAAGTACAGACCAGTATCCTCATGAACATAAATGCAAACAATTCTCAACTAAATGCTAGCAAATCTAATCCAACAGCCCCCCCCCCAAAAATATCACCATGATCAGGTGTGTTTCATCCAAGGGACATAAGGATGGTTCAACATAAACAAATCAATAAATGTGATTCACCCTATAAACAGAATTGAGAACCAAAACCATATGATCTCAATAGATGGAGGGAAAGGATTTTATTAAATTCAACATCCTTTATAATAAAAGCCTGTAAAAAACTAGGTATAGAAGGGACATACTTCAAAATAATAAAAACTATCTATGACAAACCCACAACAGACATACTGACTTGGTAAAAGTTCAAAGCATTTCCACTGAGAACTGGAACAAGACAACGATGCCCACTGTGACCACTTCTTTTCAATATTGTACTGAAAGTCCTAGCCAGAACAATCAGGCAAGAGAAAGAAATGAAAGGCATCCAAATCAGAAAAGAGGAGGTTTCTTTTTTTAAATCCATCTTCTAAATTATAAGGTCATCAATGCCAGAACCAGAAGCACCATAACCCTGTTCAAATGCATCCCAGCAAAGATTTTATGAAATTGACGTAAGGAGGGAAAGGCACTTTCTTTTCTAAGAGAGAAGTTTCACATTATGGTTGGCATTTTGATGTGAGCATAGAAGTTTATGTAGCAGAAATGCATCATCTTATAAAGTCCTTCTCTTTGATGGAATACTAAAAAATATCAACAGTGACATTGCATGTATGAAATATTTTTACATGTAAGAGATTTTTTAAAATGCAATTACTAATTTTGTCATAGGTCACATTTTGTCATTTCCCCAGTGCAATGGAAATGTTCACAGATGTCTGGAATGAGATCTTTCCATAAATAATAGATACATATATAATATCACACCTATTAATTTTTCTACCTGAAAATTACTCCCAAACAACATGATGATATTGCAATGACTAATGACTCCAAATAATACTTTCAAAATTGCTACCTCATTGTTATAATTAAGACCACACCAGCAGTTTATCTGAGCAAGGACACTAACATCAGACCAAAACGCTGATACAGCTTTAATGTGGTTTGGGACAAGAAAATAAATAGCCTTTATTTCTATAAACTTCACAGCCCTCTTGCAGTTCCTGGACACATTATGCTGATGTTATAAAAGTATTTTTTTTATTTTATTCCAAACCCAACCAGTCAATTCCATGTCAAACAATTTAGAGTTTTAAAATCACAGTTTAAACAGCAAGCATACTTAACTGTCCCAGAGAAAATGGAGTAAATAAAGAAACACATTTTTATAGAAGATCAGCAATTTTGCCATTAAATGTAAAGGAATCATGAATATATATACATGTATACATACAGTCTATAATTAGCATGTGTTTGTCTGAAAGTTAAGATTGGATAAATCTAGCGCCTCAGGGAAAGGGTAATAGGAGTGCTCATTTACTTCTCCCCAATCCAATTAGTATGTTTTAGGATTCATTTCTATTCAAATCCTAAACTTCTTTGCAGGGGCTGCCAGGTTCACAGAACTGTGTGATGGAGGATAGGACATGAACTGTGACAGATGTTTTCACCTTCATGAAGCAGGAAACATTAATGAAATGCCGTTGAATGCACGTTACTCTGATGTTGAACCCACGTTTGACACTGCACAAATGATTCTAAATTGCAGTGACGTTCTCACATAAATTGTTACTGATCTGTTTGCTGAATTAGAGGGTTGTTCTTAATCATAGACAAGTGACACCCCATAATCAGCTTAGGGTGTAGCCACTGGGTTTGCTTATGACTTTTTCCCAAATCTCAAACTTCTTGAGCCATCTTTCATGTTACAGTCACTAACTGCTGAATGTCTTTTCTATTTAACTTTTTGAAGCTTGCTTTCCTAATATCTGAAACCCACCTGTTATCATTTTGAAATTTTTTCTCCAGGCACTAGTTTTTCCCATTTCACATCCATGAGTTATTTTGTGTTCTAAGATGAAGTCTAAAACCTGTGTAAGTTTCAGCAGGTCAAAATGTCAATAAAGTGAGCAATAAATTTCTCTAATATCCTGTTTTTAACAATAGAAGACTTTTTAATCTTTGGAATTGGTGCCATAAATAGCACAGTGGTAAGAAGCTAGACTTTATATATGCCCCACAGTGGTTACTGTGGTCACATCATTTTAGCTGCTTAGTCTTACGCACTTAATAATCTCTAACTCATAGAACAGTTATGAACACAAAATGAGGTCCCACCTACAACATACTTGTAACTCAGCTAAGCACATAAAAAGAGTTCCAGAAAGGTAAGTCCCACACCGTAATCTATTGATTAAGAGATGCTTCTACTCGATTCTTTAATATCTGTGGACTTACTGCATCTTACATTGGGTGCATTTTTAATTGCTGTGGGCAAGCAATTTATGACATAGTTGTCATTGCTTGTACACGTGAACTTTGTGGTTATTCCAACAACCAATTCCATGTACATGCTATCAAATAACAAATAAAAGCAGCTAAAAGTAATTTGAGGACAGAAAGTAAATCCCCGTTGCTTGCTAAAATTCAGCCCTCTTCTGGGGCTACAGCATCAAAATTTAAGGAGAGTAATGTCAGTATCTTGGAAGAAAAGTCTGAAGACCAAAGGGGAGAAGTCTTTTTAAGAAACCCTGCATTGCCAATACTTGTGTTATCACAGAGGGTGATAGCGTGTAGGAGAACACAGATTGCAGTGAGTGAACTGAAAGGTAACTTGAAAGATTTGGACTCAGTGTACAGAAGTGTTAGGAATACCTTTCCTTTTAATGCAAAAGAATGATATAAAAAAAAAACTATGTAATTAAGCATACAAAGCAATTTCAATAAGTATACAAGAAAAATTAGAGTTGACCACAACACATTGTGTCATATTTTAATTTACAGTATTTCTTTTTCTGTGGAACACATTAAATGATGATATGTACATGCCACAGCCAATGCAGCTTAGATGTGAAGATATATGAAATATAATTACTCAATGATTTTCTAGTGGTTTTCTGGAGGATAATAAAGTATCAATCAATGTCAATATCCCTGTTTATAATCACCCTAAACTTAATAGACTAAACTAAGTAGCATTTTAAAACCTGCAATTAAGACTTTCATTTTGGGGAACAGCATGTGAGTCTCAATATGCATGTTTTTCCTGGTCAACAATCACACGGGCTTTATTTGTACCTTATTTTCAACTTTTCTAGAGAGCAATAGTCTCTCTAAGGTCTTCCATCATCCCTTAAGACAAATATTGTGCACACCAGAGAGTTTATATTCTGAGCCACTCCATTCCAAATGAGGTAATGAACTTATAATTTGCTTTCCTAGCTGGTCACAGGCAATGCATTAAATCAGGGCCAGTTATTATTATTGTTGTTAGCCGTGTTAATTACAAGGAACAGAGCATGGTAAACTTTCATTGGTACTACATCTAATCTGCTATTGTTGTGCATTTTTATAGGTGGAATTCACTGTCCAAATATCAGTGCTTTGCAAGAGGTGCGCAGCTGTAATGAGCATCCTTGTACTGTGTACCACTGGCAAACTGGTCCCTGGGGCCAGTGCATCGAAGACACCTCAGTATCGTCCTTCAACACAACTACAACTTGGAACGGGGAGGCCTCCTGCTCCATAGGCATGCAGACAAGGAAAGTTATCTGTGTGCGAGTCAACGTGGGCCAAGTGGGACCCAAAAAGTAAGGGCTTCAGAATGACAGCAGTAAATCCTGTGGGCAGCCATGCAGAGCATTGGCTCAGCCTTCACTTGCTTCATGAAGTGGAGCATTTGGATGCTTGTCAGACCTGTCCTCAAGAGCAAGATTTGTTTGTTTTGAATGTCAGCTGCTGATAAAGCTATAACAGCTTTAGAGGCTTGTACCTGGGATCCATAAATTCTGTAGAAATCTTTCTATCTGGTACCTACTTTCTGTTTTATAGTAGCACTTTCTGCTTTTATTAAGCTAGCAAGGCAATGAAAGAAGTGCTGGCTCCAGGCCTGGTTGATCAATAATGACAGTATATGAACGAAGTCCTAGCATTGTAGGTCACGCATGACCTCCTATCTACCCGTAGGCTACGGAGACTGCCAATCTAGTTTAATTGGGTAGTAGCCTTCTGTGATCTGCCTTGCATTTCCCCTGGAAAATACTATATCAAAAATACCGAGGCCAAACATTATATCTCTCAGTGGCTAAATGAATAAGCCATTTACTTCCAAGAGAGAGCCTTGGGATAGGACGAGTATTATGATGAGCAGAAAACTATAAGTTTCTTGTGGTGAGAATAAGTACTGTAATAGCAAGGCAGTTTGCTGGCGGGGAGGACAAAGAACTCAAAAGTTGGCATGCTGTACGCGCTTTTGAGAAATATAAATAAGTTACGGCATATTTGAGCTATTTAATTATTAGAAAACAATCAACTCTAAAAAAAAGTTTATTTAAGGGGTAAAAACCTCTTTATCTTTGAAATTTAGAAAACACAAGTTTTTAAAAATTCAAATCATCTTAGCCATGTGAAACAAGAAAAGTAAAACCACTCAATTTTGCATGAGTGTAAAAGTGACCTGTTTTCTAAATACTTGGTTAAGTGGCTAAATATGGTGTGTGATCTTAAACCTGCTGCCTAACTCATTGCGGCCTCGGCTTTCCACCTGTTGAAAGAATTTAAGGAAAATGTAATAATAATGTAAACACTCAATCCAGGTTAGAAATTGTTGTTTTTTCTTGAGAATTTGAGGGGCGGTGGCTGTGGCTCAAAGGAGTAGGGCACTGGTGGCGGGTTCAAACCCAACCCTGGTCAAAACTGCAAAAAAAAAAAAAAAAAAAGAATTTGATATAATTCTTAGTGTTTCAGGGAAATGAAAATAGTGTATATGGTTTGGAAAGCTCCATGGGATAAATAAGAATCCCATTGTGAGTTATTTTTATCCAGCCAGGGTTCCAGACATTGGGAATATTTTGCCCCATATTTTATTTCTTTAGATCATTTGAATTTAGGAAATGATATGGGAGAATGTATGCAAATCAGATCTGAATACATTGACAGACTATGTGTAGATAGCTCCAAACTAATATTTTAATAGAAATTTTGCCAAGGTTGCTATGACTCTAACTCAGGAAAATAGCATACAGTGTGTTAACAATTCAGCACTGGTAACAGCAGGCACAGAAGTCCCGAGTCCTAGAGGATTCTGAGTCTCTTTGGAGCAAGAACAGAGGCAGAAATAAATATTTACTGCAGAGGCACAGAAAGAGGATGACTGTGCTGAGGTCCATGAATAACTTCACTGTGTGCCTGTTCTGTAGTTAATCACCTTTCAAATGTTGCTGTTGACATTTCTGTCATACAAACTGCAAAATATTTTTGCTGAGGAATGGATATGCATATATGTAAAGCTGTATGCGAACGAGCCTGCTGGATTAATATCTCTGAATCATTCAACTGGAAGGGTATCCAGAAGCCCCATGTCAGATCACCACGATAACCCACTGAAATTTTGCTATACCCTTGCAGCCTTTGTTCAATGACCTGGATTCGTCTCTAGATTTGTTAAATCAAATGGCTTTCCTTTGCCCGTAAAATTCTGGAAAATGAAGCAAATATGGTGAATTCAAAAGAAAATGTTATTGCCCTTCTTTCTTAAAAGCTAGGTTAAATTCAGCAAATACTTTCCACAACTAGGTTTTTGAAACAAAAATGCAAATAGAAAACTTGTTTTAAACTTCTCTTAATAAAACAGATTACTTTGCAATGGTAAAGTCAATGTTATCGATCTTATCTATTCTCCCAATAACAAACTTCAACTTCTATCACATCTGTTTAATTTGACCTTGAATAAGATTTGGGGGAAAATCGATTTCTTTAAATCACAAACACTAAATACAAACAATACAACGGAGAAAGGAAGCATGTTGGTTGAACCATTTCCCTTCCCAAAGGAAGTCGGAATTCATTTTATTGGATATAATCGAGGCTGTATAATTTATCTTTGTGTGTGCATTTAACGGCTTTGTTGTTAGTAATTTTGTTCTCCACAGTTAGCTAAGTCTCTTGCTGTGTCTATTTCTAAACGAAAAGGGAATATTTGAAAGTTGTCAATGATAACATTGTAAATTCCATTGATTTATTTGAGGCTAATATTTGAAGAGCAGGCAGCTGAGTAATGCCCTCCCATTGTTAAAGTTGTAAAACTGTCTCATTGAAAAGGAGTGTTGTCAGTAATAATTGCTGACCAATAATTTCATGGCTCCAAAAGAATTAACTGGATTATGTGTGGGGGTTGCTGTATAATGTTTCCTGATTAAGAAAGAATGCAGCTTAAGATGTAATTCTAGTGATTTACAACCTAAATGATAACAGTATTTTTACTTCTATGATTCCCATCTAAATTTCTTTGTTGTCTATGATGTTGAATAGTCAAAGCAATGAGGAAAATCCAAGCTTACCCTCAAAGTAACCAGGGAGATTATTTATTTCTGAAATAATGAATCCTACATATTTTTCAAATCCATGTCCAAATAAACCCTTGTGTTTTTAAAGTGAGAGAGGAGAACAAGTATCTATATAATTGAATAGAGTATAATATTTATGTATGAGAAATGATATGTAGAGAAATATAATTACACAAGAAAGATCAAAAATGAAGTGTCAGCAAAATGCTATAAAGAGCTCAAGGAAAAATAGATTAATGACTTTGGTTGTTTTTACTCATAGTTCAATTCTGAAAACTTAACCAACTTATTTGATAAAAGACAATTTATCTTGAACTATACAAAATTTGGCTTTCCCTATACAGAGTATTTCTAAATTCTATTTCCCACAGATTTGCCAATTTATTCCAACAAGAGTTATGCTGATTGTTTGGACTATTTCTTAAATGCCTGTTAATTTAGTTGGCAGGGATTTATATACCTCAAAAGAGAATGCTTAGAAATCAGAATAAGTTACTTTGAATTAATATGAATTGTGTTATTATATTTTATTTGTCTAATATAAATCTTTTTCTAGTGTTAATGCTTCATAATTGACTACTTGCAATAGTAATATCAACCATGAAAATACAGAGAAAGATTGGGAAATTTAAAAATCCTATAATAAACATATTTTAATAAGGCAATATATTTAAAATGCATACATTAGATTCCTATTATTTCTTAGGGATTGAAAACCTTATATACAGTAAAACATTCTTATCTTTCTCTTGTCTTTCCAATATACAACACATTTTTGCTATATTTTTAAAATAATAATTCAGTGAATGTTACTGTAATTAATGTCAAGCACACAGTATTTTAAAGTTACTGAGTGACTATTTTAAATTTTTTCATATCCACGTTTTTTGTTCCCCCAAAAGATATTATAGCTTGTAGCTTATAAAAATTTACAAAGTATTTCAAATCCCGAGGCAGTGCCTGTGGCTCAAAGGAGTAAGGCACCAGCCCCTATGCCAGAGGTGGTGGGTTCAAACCCAGCCCCAGCCAAAAATAAAAAAAAGTATTTCAAATCCCATAATTTAAAATTAGGGACAAAATAGAAGAAAAACTAAGAATAGATACATTAAGTAAAGCCAAGAGTAAAGCAAGAACTATATATCATAATAATTTGTATACTTTTATTATCTTATTGTTTATTATTAAATACATATAGCTATTATTATAAGATCAGTTTTGAGAAGGTACTACATAAAGAATGAATTACATTATAATTTATTTTATGCTATACATATTTTAGAAAAATAAGTGTAGAATAACCTGAAAACTTTATAATAGGCACAAAGCCTACTTGGTTATATAAAAATATAAAATTGGATTCTTGGGCTTGAGCGATTCTCTTTTCTCAGCCTCTGAAGTGGCTGGGACTGTGGGTGCCCGCCACAATGCCTGGCTATTTTTTAGAGACGAGGTCTCGCTCTGGCTTGAGCAAGCTGGTCTTGAACTCCTAAACTTGGGAGATCCACCTGCCTCGTCCTCTCAGACTGGTAGGATTATAGGTGTGAGCCACCATGCCTGGCCAGACCTCATGAATTTGATTAGTGCCCTTATGAAAGAGGACCTAGAGAGCACTTTTGTGCCTTCTGCCACTGAAGTTATAGTGAGAAGACAGAAGCTTATGGGGAAGCAGGTCCTCACCAGACACCAAATCTGTCAGAGCCTTGATCTTGGATTTCCCAGCCTCCAGAACTGTGAGAAATATAAATTCTGTTGTTCCTAATTTAAATAAATAAATAAAATAAATAAATAAATAAATAAAGTTGGATTCTTGAATTAGTAAGTTGAATTTCAACATAATTTTTCTAAAGCAGGAGGATAAGGTATAATTATCATATATTATTCTAGGTAGCATAATTG